AGAAAGAGTGAGGATCGGGAAGATGATAGGGTAGAGGGGAGGGAGAAAGGCAAGAACACAGAACAGGGGGCCGGGGAGGACTAGGAAGAGCAGAGGAGGAGGAGGAAGAGGAAGAGGAGGAGACGGAGGAAGGAGGAGGAGGCGCCTGGCAGACATGTATCTTCTCCGACCGCCGCGTCGCCCAGGCGACGATCAGCATCGGGCAGCATGAAACGTTTGCGAGTGGTTTGAATCGGTGCTGGACGTCCGATCCGAAAGGCATCATTTTGCGAGAGCGCACCGGTTCTTACCCGGACACTTTCGCGGAGGATGCAGTGGGCCGCCTGGATTATGGCTCAGGCACATCAGGCATGTGCATTGTCCGGCGAGAGCGCCTCGCAGGTAGCCATTTCCAGAACAGCGCCTGCACTAGGGAGGGCTCGCTTGCAATATCACGCGCATGTCTCCCGGGTCGTCCACCTTGGAGGCCATTTGGCGGGCGGGGCGCGCATAGGGCATATTTTCTAGCATCTCAAGCCCACTGTTTGGCGCCGAAACAAATGCACATCTACAGCTGTGGTGCTGTCGAGGGCCTGGCGTCTTTGAGTATGTAACGCGCCCGGCGTTTTCGATATTGGCGCCCCTCTGCTGTGTACCACTCGCTGGAGCTGCTATGTCCCATTTCTTGTGCTTCCGACCGACTCAAGAAGGCCCTGGCCGAAGTGTCCCAAGGCCTGCTCGCCGCTACAGGTGTCCCAGCCACAGAGGGCCTGTATGTTGGGTGCCCTGGTCGCTCGTCGAAGGTTGGGGGGCGAAACGCGCTTGTCGTTGAAAGTAGATTATTCGGGATGCCCAGATCCCAATCTATTTCAAGCGTCTTCCTATTTCAAGAGCCGATCTGTTTTTGCTGTGTTTCCTTCTTCTCTGGGAGGGCCTGAACCCAATCTACTTCACCCGCCCTCCTACGCCATGTTTTTATCTACTTCTTCCGGCCGACGTGTAGCAAAGTGACCCCAACCAGGGAACCTGGTTCGGTGTCGCTTCGTGTCGCGCGTTCGGGCGAGGCAAAGTTGCGCGAGGGCGACGAGGTGTCTGTGCAGCTCTTGGGCCAGGTCGGACGCACATTTTCTATCCCTGCCCCGCGATTGCCCGCTGTGGTTGTCCGACGGCTGTCCCGCGGGTGTCCCGTGGGTTGCCCCGCGGTTATCACGCGGGTTGTCTTGTAGTCGTCCCGTGGGTGGGTGGGTTTGTCCCGTGGTTGTCCCGCGGGCTTGTCTTGTGGTTGGACTGGGTTGCTGTCCCGTGGTCGTCGCGCAGTTTTTTTTCGTTGGATGGCCCATATTTGTTCCTGCGGGTGTTCTCGGTGTTGCCCCTTCGGGAACTGGCCATTGAAATGCACATGCAGTTTCAATTCCTCTTCCTCCTCCTCCCCCTCCCTCTTCCTCCTACGTTCCCACCATCATTCTCCTCTTCCCTCTTCCTCCTCCTTCCCCCTCCCTTGTCCTCCTCCCCCCCATTCCTGCACAGTGTCTGTCCTTTCTACTCCTCCTCCTCCTCTTCTTCCTCCTCATCTTTCTCCTCTTCCTCCCCTTCCTCTCTTCTGCACAGGAACTGCCCCGGCAATAATTGCCATGGGTGGCTCTTGGTGTCGTGTTGTTGGCAATTCATTATCTGCACGAATTTGCATATTGCAGGTCAGTGTGTGTGGTGTTGCGGCTTTGTTTGGCGACTCTCTGATGTGCACCGCGGTATACATAACCCACGCGTCGAATTCTGGCGGTCGCATTCCTTACTCCATTTTCTCGAATGTAACTGCAATTGGAACGCAAACCCAAGTACCTCAAAATGCATCAACGTGGCATCGAAATGCATATGCAAAATCAAGTTGAAATTCGGATCGATGCGCACATATAGTCACGGCGCAACATTCGAGCTTGTTTGTGTTATCGAAGACGCCTACGTCGAATCACCGCCGCCCCCTGCCCCCTTGGAAGCGCCTATGTGGCCGATAGCTGGGCTAGAGCTTGGCCAAGCTATCGGGCCAGTTGTTCCCCGAGTCGGTTTGGAAAGCCTTCGGGGAACGCGTGGGGGAACAACAGGAGGGGGATCAGGAGAGGGATCAGGATGCTGCTTAGGAGGAGGATGAGGATGAGGATGAGGATAATGGGGAAGGAGGGGGAGTAGGAGGAGGAGACTTCTTGGGAACCATCTTGCGAGGTCTCTTGGGAGGCCTCTGCGGAGCTTCCTGGGAGCCTTTTGGAGGCCTCGTGAGTGCCTCCCTGGGCCTCCTGGGGGCTTCTTGGGGGCCTTGAGGGGCTTCTTGGGGGCCTCTTTGGTTGTCTTAGGGCGTGCCCGACCCGTCTGACACCGTCGGAAGCCGCCTGAGGGGCCTCTCTGAACCGACTTGGGGCTCTCTTGGGGCGCTTCAGGGCCGTCTTGGAGGGTATTTTGGACGTCTTGGAGGCCGCCGTCTTGGGCGCCTCTTGGGCCGTCATGCGGCCATCTTAGAGGCCTCTTGGGCGATCTTGGGGCGACCTTGGGGGCCTCTTGGGACGGCGGAAGGCCGACAAGGCGCAAATGCAGACATCTTTCGAAAACCTAAGGAAAATCAATCATTTTGGCCTCTTCGGGCTTTCCTGGAGGACCTCTTGGAGGCTTCTTGGGCCGTCTTGGAGGCCTCTTCGGGGCCTCTTGGGCCATCTTGAGGTCATCTTAGGCCGTTCTTGGTGCATCTTGGGCCGTTTTGGAGGCATCTTGGGGCCATCTGAGCCGTCTTGGAGGCCATCTTGGCCGTCTCGGAGGCCTCTTGGGGCCGTCTTGGGGCCGTCTTGTGAGCCTCTTGGGCCGTCATGGGGCCATCTTGGAAGCCTCGTGGGTGATCTTGAAGCGATCTTGGGGGCCTGTTGGGCCGTCTTGAGCCGTCGGAATGCCGAGAACAAGCAAATGCCAAAATCCTTTGAAAACCTAAGGAGAATCATTGAATTTGGCCTCTTCGGGCCCTCCTGGAGGACCTCTTGGAGGCCTCTTGGGCCGTCTTGGAAACTTCTTGGGTGTACTTGAAGGTATCTTGGGCTCTCTTGGGCCGTCTTGGAAGCCATCTTCGACCATCTTAGGCAAACTTGAGGGCCATTTCGGGCCATCTGAGCCGTCTTGGAGGCTATCTTGGGCCATCTTGGAGCGGGACAGGCATTGACATGTGCAGATTCCGGTCCTTTCCGGGACCCCGGCGGGCTGGGCCGAAGCACCAGGGCGAGTTTGGAAAAGAACCAAATCCAAGATTGAAAGGGTTCAGCACGCCAGGCACCCCCGTGATGAATCAACAGGGGTCGGCGGATCGAATGGCCTTCGGCCCATCCCGGGGTTGTGGGACAGTGTTGTCAGGGATGTTTCTTCGGGTCTCTTCGGAGCGCTCTTGGGGGTCGGTCTCTTGGGAGCAGTTTGGGGGCCTCCTGGGAGCCCCTTCGGGGCCTCTTGGGGTCCTCTTGGCGCCTCTTGGGAGCCTCTTGGGGTCTCTTGGAAGTCTTTTGGTTGCCTCTTGGGGCCTCCTGGGGAGGGCCCTCGAGGCCGAGGGCTTGAAATGTCCGCTCGTGTTCCCCATCTGGGCCCCATATTGGGGCCCTGGGCCCGAAAGCGTCACGCGAGAAGACGCGGCAAGCCCCCCGACGAGGCGCGCCAAGCATTGGTAGATTTGGCAATGTTGGAGCTCTGGCCCCATGAAGAAAGACTGCTCAGGAGAGAGGACTGAGGCTGAGAGGATTGGGCCCAGGACCTGAGGACACGCCCACTATGGGCCCAGCGGCACGGTGGCGGATACCAGCAGAACTGCAATCGAAATGAACATTGAAGTGCGAATCGAATTGCGAATCGACTTGTCGCTCGAAATGTAGACCGACACACGCATCTACATGGAAATCGCCATGCCCATCGAATTGCACATCGGAGTGAAAATCGACATGCATATCGAAATGATTTCGATTGACAGCGATATCGGTAGATATCCTGCGAATCCGATCGGACGCCAATCGAAAGCCGACGGCTGCCCTCATCTCCTCTCCACCCAAACCTCAGAATCATGCCGACCACCTGACGGGTGGTTCATGAGAGTAGGATCATGGCCTGAATCTTAGTTTGTCCGTTCGCCCACAGGGCCCACGCCATGGTAATTTTTAAATGCGCTCGGTGCTCACGAGCTAGTACAGTGTGCTTTCTTGCGTACGGCGATTCCCCTGAAGAGTACGATGATTCACGCAGGGCAGCTCGACCGCCATATCGCCATCAACATCTGGACGCGGGCAAGGGGAGGGGCAGAGGACCCCCAGTTGCGGGAGACCTTCGCGAGGGACATGTTCCGAAAGAGTCCGTTGGAGCTGGGCGTGGCCGCGGTAGCCCAAGTGAGCGCAGCAGATCGCGAAGGAGGTGTGTGGTTGCTTTCTCTCTCTCTCTCTCTCTCTCAATCTCTCTTTCTGTCCCTTTAGTACACCTATGCACGCATCGAACAAACATGTACATGCAGATGAGATGGTGTCCGCGCATGGCCCCCAAGCAGTTCTTACGTGCACCAAAATGAAGATGCAACACGTGGCAAATTCGATTCGGCTCAACCTATGTGCTGCACCGCGTGAAATGTAACTTCCGGTCTGCGGATTTAATCGGGGGCAGTTGACATATTCAGGACGAGAGATGTTTCCTCTTGCGCCAAATTCGTTGATCAAATTGGACGACATGTGTCAAAAGTGTGCGAGCGCTTCGTGGATGAATGTTTCTTCATATATATATATATGTATGGATCCGATGCTCGCTTGGCCAAGGCCAGTGATCATACCTGTACCAAGGAAAAAATCTGAAGTCGAGATTCGGAATCTGAGCTTCGTATGACCTTGGGTCCAGGGGGGCCCCAGCCCGCAGACCTAGATAGAGCAGGCAGCTTGTGTTGTGGGGGAGAATCTGGGCAGGGTTGGCCACGGGGGCAGGCGCGTAGCCCGGGATATTTCGGCTTGGCGCCTCGTCCATGAGACACAGTACCAAGCGGAGGATGCAGAAGACGGTGATGAGGAAGACTGCGATGACGACGACGACGATGCTTTCCTCCGAACGCTAAGGTGCGAACACTCTGTGACTTCCATAAGACATTATGCGGGATGACGATTAATAAGAAAATGGGAGAGACCGATGAACAAATAGTTTTCTGTTATTTCTGCACGATTTCTGACTGGAGGAGAACGATCAAAACATAGTTTTCCAGCCCGCGGCCGGTTTTTTCTAATCGTCATCCCGGGCGCCGCCGCGTGAATTCGGCCCCCGGTTATTTATCAATCGTCATCCTCCATTATCGGGGGCGGCAAAGAGGGGGGTGATGACTAGGGGGGGTGGATACCATGGCGCGGGCCATGATTTTTCCTCAGATTTCACGGCGCCTCTTCTTGTTTCATTACGTCCTTGGGCCCCCCGCTGGGCCGCGCACATGCCGCCGGTCATGATTTGCACCCCCCCCTCTTGGACACCCCCCTCTTTGCCGCTCCCGAATTTACTGATCGTCATCCTCCATTAAGACATTGTATCACGAGGAGGATGCCCCCCAAACGCCGCTCACGGACCCGGCGAGGGCGGGCCTGAGGCCAACGGCGGGCCCCGCCCGATCCCCACGGGCGCCAGGGGGAAACGGCGGAGACGGCACAAGTCGGGCAGTTGTGCGATATAGTTTTTCACGGGGACCCGGCGGGCCCCGAAGAGTCCTCCCTCCTTCCCTCCCTGCCCCTCCCCCTCCTCCTCCTCCTCCTCCTCCTCCTCCTCCTCCTCCTCCCCCTCCTCCCTCCTCCTGCTCCTCCTCCTCCTCCTCCTCCTCCTCCTCCTCCTGAGCGCGGGAGCGGCCGCCGCCCTGCACCCGAAAAGGCCGCGGGGTGGGGAGGGGCGGGGGTCGCCGCCACCGGGCGCCCTCCCCGCAGGAGAGGGGGAGACGCGTCAGCGGAGGGCAGTCTTCCCTTCTCCTGCGGGGAGGGCGCTCCGCTGACGCGTCTTCCCCTGCTCCTGCGGGGAGGGGCTCCGCCGAAGTCCCCATCCGGCGCCGGCACTTCCATAGCCCGGGGCAGGGGGGGGAGGAGCCGACAGAGGCGCCAACTCCAGGCCTCCCAGATGGGGAGCAGATGGGGTCGGGGGATCGAGCCGCATTGGCGATGCATCTGTGATGCGGCTCGATGTGGGGCCCACTCTTCTCCATGCCGACGTCGCCGATGCATCGCCGATACATCCCCGATGCATCGCCGATGTATCGGCGATGCGGCGAGATCCTCCGACCCCATCTACTCGGACCCCATCGCGGAGGCCTCCACCAACGTCCCACGCAGGCGGCGCAGCGGGGGCTCCCCACGTCGAACGCACCGCCGGGGGCTTCAGGGACTCGTCGGGAGGCCTCGGGGGCCGGGTCATTTACAAGGGTGGAGCCCCCTGGGAATCAATGGTCTTTTTTATGCTCCGAGGGCCTCTTGGGGGTCTTCTTTGGCTCGCCTTCGGGCGCGTGGTGGGTGTTTGAAGCCTCTCTGGGCGCTCACAAGCCGTCTCCGCCGCCCTGCTGGCCGGTTCGGGCTCGTGGGCCAGACCCGGCAGGGGCTTCCAGGAGCCCCGGGAAAGCGTGAGGGGCCTTTCGCAGGGGCGCCCAGGGTCGGGACCTCGCCAGGGGGGGGGGGCACAGGAGGCGGGTGAGTTCGGTCCGTTGGCGCGTTGAGCCGCAGAAAAAAAACGGTGCAAGATGGGGTCTCCGGCCGCCGCCGGAACCCGAGAGGGGTCGACCATCGGGGCGCGCGGGGGGCATCGCTTTTCGGAAATTCGATGCACCAGCGGATCGAGCTCCCCCCCACCCCTCCGGGTCCCTCCACCCCTTGGTGGACCCCGACAGGGGGGCCAGGATCCTGGGGGTCAAGGGCAGAAAAAACGCCCCTACCCTGGTTTACGACGCGCTGTGCGCTGAAACTCCTGTGGGCTGAGAGGGTAAACCCTGCGTGGTGTGCCGCGTCCTGGCGGCTCTAGGCTTTGGGGGTTCCTAGGAGGTTTACAGACCACGCACTTGTATCCCAGGGTAGTGTCGTTCTTTCATCCCTCAATGGGGGGGCTCTTTGTTTGAGGAGGGGGCGGAGGGGGGGGCACGCAAGGCGGAGGGGCAGGGCGGCCAAGCAGAAAAGTTGGCAGTGACTCCTCGATGCCATTTCCGACTCCGTCGTTCTCAGGAGTGTTAGTCGCTATCGTTCCCTCACGTTTGCTGCTCCTCGTCCTCATTCTCGCCTTGGCCTGCGAATAATTCTGGCCCGTGCTCCTGATTTGTTGTTGCGGAGACTCCTCCTTGGAGGGCCTCCCATCATTCTGGGCTTGGGCGCCTTCTGGGGCCCTCTGGGGGCTTCCTCGGGCCACCCTGCTTTTAACCACGTTCTCCCTGAACGATCGGGTCACAGGCTTCTGGGGGCGTTTTTGGTCCATCCTGGGCCGTCATGGGGCCCTCTTCGGGCCATCTTGGGGACCTGTTGGACCGTCTCGGGGCTCCTGCCTGGAAGCCCTTTTGGGTAGTTGTGGGGCGATTTTCGGGCCTCCTGGGCGGTCTCGGACGCCTGGAGCATTGAAGAACATAGTATTTCCCAAATCATGCCAAAACCATTGGAAATCCATGTGCTTGCGTTCTGAGTGTTTCTTGATGGTCGTTTTGGGTCGCCTTCGGGCGTGTGCTGGGTGTCCAGGGCCTCTTGGGGTCCTCGCGGGGCCGTTCGGCCGCTGCAAAAAAAAACAGAACAGGGAACATGTGTATGTATGTGTGTATATATATATGTGTGTACGTATATACATAGGTGTATATATCTATAATGAGAGAGAGTACTTGCGACCACGGTCAAAATGAGGGAGCCTGTAGTAGCGAGTAGAGGGTACATATCAAGTGTAGCTCAAAGATGAGTAAAGAGAGGGGGCCCAATCAGATATGAGAGAGAGAGAGAGAGAGAGAAAAAAAAAAAAAAGAGAAGAAACAAACCACATGGACTGGAGAGAGAGAGAGAGAGAGAGGGTAGGGTTCATTTAATAGAGAGAAGCGGGATTGACACGGTAGACAAGGTGAAAAGAGCAGAGAGGGCTCTATACATGTACATAGAACTAATTAAATATATAGAGAGAGACACAAATAATGCTACCGGTGTATACATATATAGAGAGATGCAGGCAGAGGGAGGCAGAGAGAGAGGGATGTACATATATATACATATATATAGGAAAAGCGAGACAGAGAAAGAGAGAGCAAGAGAGAAAGAGTGATCCAGGGAGGGAGAGAGAGAGAGAGAGAGAGAGAGAGAGCGAGAGGGAGAGAGAGGGCCCCCCAAACATAACCCTGGCGAAGGACCCAACCATACGCAAGTGTGAGAATCGCATGGCAAGTGGGACGGAGCAAGGGGAATGTCCAATGGGATCACGAAAAGTGTGAGGGAAGCGCCAAAAAGGCGCGGGGCCGCTGTGCGAACCCTGCCATTGGGGCCTTCGGTGGAACTCCCTATGGGGCCACGAAAAGTGTAAGGGATGCGCCAACATGGGGCGGGGCCGCCATGCGAACACTGCCACTGGGGCCTTCAGTGGAGCCCCCTATGGGGTCACGAACTGTGTGAGGAATGCGCCACAAGGGGACTGGGCCGCCATACGAACCCTGCCACTGGGGCTTTCGGTGGAGCTCTCTGTGGGGCCACGAACCGTGTGAGGGGTGCGCCACAATGGGGCGGGGCCGCCACGCGATGGGGCCTTCGGTGGAGCTCCCTGATTGGCCACGAACCGTGTGAGGGGTGCGCCAAAATGGAGCGGGGCCGCCATGCAAACCTTGCCACTGGGGCTTTCGGTGGAGCTCCCTATAGGGCCACGAACCGTGTGATGGGGTGCGCCACAATGGGGCTGGGCCGCCATGCGAACCCTGCCACTGGGGCCTTCGGTGGAACTCCCTATGGTGCCACGAACCGTGTAAGGGGTGCGCTAAAATGGCGCGGGGCCGCTATGCGAACCCTGCCACTGGGGCCTTCGGTGGAGCCCACTATGGGCCCACGAACCGTGTGAGGGGTGCGCGAAAACGCGGGGCCGCCATGCGAACACTGCCACTGGGGCCTTCGGTGGAGCTCCCTATGGGGCCACGAAGCGCTGTACTGGGTGGGTGAAACGCAGGGAGGAAGGAGGAGGGGGAGGATGGAGGAGGGGAGGAGGAGAGGAAGGCGGGGCACCGTCTCTTCAAAGCGAGGACCCGACACCACAGGATGGTTGGGAAGGCATATATATATATATATATATATACATGTCTCATGTGTGAGTGTGCACCCGTATACATATATATATATATATATATAAATATAAATGTCATGATGCCGATATATATATATATATGTATAGAGAGATATAGAGAGAGAGTGGGAGAGAGAGACCGCAACAACAAAGAGTAGAAAGCAGAGAAGAGAGCAGAGATAGTAGAGAGTCAGGTTCAGACTAGAGGACCAAGCAATGTGCGCGTGGATTACCAGAGAATCAAATGGTTTGGGTTGTTCTTCGCCCGGCAGGTTGGGTGCGATAGATATCAGGAAAATAACTCGCGACCCGCCTCGCATACCCTGCGTACCGCGGGTGGCCGCCAGGCCCAAAGCATGCCGATGATCCCTGGACATCCCGCCCCGCGTCGTCGACGAATGACGACTGCATGCCGCCGCCGCCGCCAGACCCAAAGTGTGCTGGCGTTCCCTGGTCGTTCCCTGGACATCTGGTGTATTGCACTACCCGTCGCGCCCCCAGGGGGGTACCCCGGACTCCTGGCCTCACCGGCAACGAGAGCACGACGGCCAGTAGGTTTATCGCTGCGGCCTCCGTGAGCCGTGCTCGGCGCCCCTGGTGGAGGCGGTTCGGGGGGTGGGGGGTCGAGAAGCTCAAAGGGCCCGCGTCACGAGGGAACACTATCTGTGAGGGAGACAGGACGAGAAGGAGTGGGAGTATGACAAAATAGAAGGAGGAGGAGGAGGAGGAGGAGGAGGAGGGGGAGCAGGAGGAGGAGGAGGAGGGGAGGGCATTGCCACTGGCTGTTGCGCTCACTTCCCCGCCTCTGTTGGCCTTGGGCTCACCTCCCTCGCCGTCGCGGCTGAATAGGGCCCAGGAGAGGTCTGGGGGCCTGTCCTGGCTGGCAGGAAAGTGATGTCCATCTGCGTTGCCGCGCACACCCACCAATGCGCTTTGGGACATGGCGAAGGCCTTACGGCCAGTGCCGCCGACCCTGAAGGGGGACGATGAAGACAACGACGGCGACGACGACGAAGCTCGCGAGCCCTCGTGGGGGCCCTTGTGGGCCCTGTTAGCTTCGGAAAAGCTCCCCTGGACCCCGCCCTGGGACTGCCCCGAGCGACCCCTTCCTGGGACCCCTCCCCCCCGGGCGGGGAAGGCATCGAGGGCTTGTGCCGCGCACGCCAGCGTGGCTCGGGATCTCCCGTCTGCCGTGCGAGAGCTTCCCTGGGAGGTCGGGGCTGTTCCCCTCCTCCTCCTCCTCCTCCTCCTCATCCTCCTCCTCCTCCTCCTCCTCCTCCTCCTCTTGCGACGTTGACGGATGGTTGGCTTAACTGTCTTGGCACGCCCGCCTGGAGACGCAGCATTCAGCGTGTTCGGAACGTCTGGGTTGAACGTGCTGCGTGTGGGCTCAACGTGTTGGCCCACGCGTTGGCGAGCGCATCGCGCCGAACGCACGCTTCCAGTCTACGTGTCGAGCTCCGTGCCAACACGCCACGTGTTGCGTGCTGCATATCGGGGCAGGTAATCGATGAGATGGATGGGGATGGGCAGCGAGGGACGGGAGTCATCGGGAGGGACGGGAGGGCGGGCGGGGGCCCGCGATGGCCCTCCGAGAGCCGCTCCAGGCCTCCCCACTGCTCACGGATCCCCCCCTCACCCCGAGGCAGCCTGTGGCGGCTGGACTGGCTCACGCTGCGGTCCGAGTTCGACATCGTTGAAGGCATCAGGAGCCCCGTTCCACGGCGCCTCCCTCGCCCTCTCGTCGGGGTCACGCGTGTGCGCTGAGTGGCCGCCAGGCAGCCCCTCCGCCGCTCACGGCCAGGCCGTGCTCGACGCGTGCGGCAGGTGGCGTTCGCGAGAGGCTCCCAAACGGCGCGGTGACCCTCAAAATCCCGAAAGACATCACCGCACAGTCGGTCACCGCACGGTTTTGGGACCCTGAAGGCCCCAGTCGCCAGAGACATCCTCGGAGAACGACGCGAGTCCCAAGACCAGGCAGCTACCCCGAGTCCCCAATGCAATGAGTCACCGCACCGATAGGGGGCCTCCCAGTTCGGCGGGGGCTCGCAGACGGACTTCCGGGGGAGCTCCGCCCAAGGCGAGGGTTACTATGTGAGGAGCCCAACAACGACCAACGGCCGGAGGGCGAGCCTCAGAATTCCACAGGGGTGGCTTCGAGATGGGAGGTGCACGTCCGCAGCCGTTTGTTTAGACGTGCATGTGTCAAGTGCCGAGTGATCGACGCAAGGTCAGGAGCTTAGGCGTCTGCTCGAGACACTAATGCGACCAAGCGATCGAGAAATACCTTGGAAGGGCCGAGGCTCCCCACCGACAACGTTAAAGCATAGTGCTGGTTCGTCGTTGTCGTCGTCATCGCCGTCGAGGCTGCCAGGCCGCAGCCGACGACCAGGACGACAAACAAAACTGGTTCAATCGTCCCTGCCCAATTTGTTGTTTGTGTTCATCGTCCAGTCAGATTGCGCGCGAGGCGTGGTGTTGCTGCAACCGTGCAGGACGGATCTACAAGTGCACGGTACCTCAGGGGCTCTTTAGTTTGCCCCCCCCTCCGTTTCTCTCGACGGGGAGCACATTCGCCCCTCCTCCTCCTCCTGTCCCTCCTTCTTTTCCTCCTCCTCCTCCTCCTCCTCCTCCTCCTCCCATCTGGGTGTTCTAGAGACTTAGAAAGGCTATACACATAGATAGAAAGAGAGATGGAGAGAGAGAGAGAGAGAGTGGCGCGGAGAGAGGGGCGCGGAGAGAGGGTCTCGCTGGGCTGGCAGCCTATGACTGCTCAGGATGTGCCGCACGCCTCTGAGAGGCGTGCGGCACATCCTGAGCAGTCATGGGAGTTCGCCCTCTTAAGACTCTAGGCCTCCCAGATAGGGTCCGAGTAGATTGGGTCTGAGGATCGCCCCGCATCGCCGAGGCATCGGCGATGCGGCTCGATGTGGAGCCCGAGTTCCTTCACGTCGACGTCGCCGATGCATTGCCGACGTCGCTGATGCATCGCCGATGCATCGTCGATGTATTGTCGATGCGGCGCGATCCTCCGACCCCATCTACTCGGACCCCATGTGGGAGGCATCTGAACCTTAACATCGGCGGCTCCCGTCTGGCCAGCCTCGTCCTCTGGTCGCATGGGCGCGTGGTGAGGCATAAAGGAGGCTCGCATTTAAAGACCTACCGTCCCAAAACCCGGAGCGATACTCGATACCTATTGGACCACCCTCAGGTGATTAGGATAGATGGGTGATGGGCACAGCTTTCGGTTTGGAATGGCTTCGCGTCGGAATGGCAGCATTCCTGTGAATGTGTACACAGATGCTCTGTCTTCCTTATACATACATGTTTAATATAGGTATATTTATGTACAAATAAATACATATGTCGACTATCATGATGGTGTTGATTTCCATGTGTTTGTGTGTGATTTCTATGCTTAGTAGCCGTGGTGGCGATGGGGCTGGTAGTATTCGTCGTGGTGCGCTACGTAGTTGGTGCCACAGAGAGGTGCGGTAATCTCGCGGACGTGGTTCGGCGTTGGCCGAGGATGGCCCAATTCTCAAACCAGCTATTTGGCTAACAATGTAAGTGTACAGCTTTTTGGAGTATGCAGTCATCGAACCTCCTTATGTGTAACAACAACTTAGCCCCGGATGAATCTGGCTGCCAAGCCGTCCAAGCATAATCCCATGGCCGTTGTGTAACCCGCTGGGGCGGGGGGAACATGCAGGGGAGAAGAGAGAGAGAGAGAGGGGGAGAGAGTGATAGAGAGAGGGTGAGGAAGAGAGAGAGAGAGAGAGGAGCAGGAGGGCGAGAAGGAGGAGTAGGATCAGTGCAAACCCAAGACTCATCAACGATATTGCAATAAACCCTCCCTGTTTCCTCTTCATAGGCCCCTACAAGGGGTTTACTATCATTAGGGGAACTGCCCGGGTGGGAGGCAGCCGTTGGAGAATCTGGAATTATGCCAGAACAGCATTCCTGGGACTTGAATTCCGCGAGTCACCACCATTGTTGCGTCTTCACGATCCGGAATCGTGTCAGAACGCCAGTCTTGGGATTTCAACACCGCGAATCAACGTGATTGTTGCGCACTGGAACTCCGACATCGCCCCCAAACATTATTCTGATACGTTAAGTATGAGAACCTTTGAAACCGCTGCAAACTCTTAAGACGAATGTGCAGGGCGCCAAGGCGAGAGCGACATTTTGAAAACGACCCGCCCTCTACCCGTGAAATTCTTGCAAACTTTCAAGATCAATGTGCGCGGCGCCAAGGCGAGAGCCACATGTTTTAAGCATCAGCCCTCCATCCGTAAAGCTGTGACAGTTTTGTAAACGAATTTGCGCGGCGCTAAGGCGGGAGCCGCATTTTGAAAACGGTCCGCATTCCATCCGCGAGCACCTCGTATGTCTTTAAGACAAATGTGCGCGGCGCTAGGGCGAGAGCCTGACCAGCCCTCTCCAGCGGGAGAGCCGTGGCCGGCTGGCTGCGACACGATACAGGTAAGTTCAACAAGAGAGCGCGAGGAGAAAATATTATCAACCGAGGACCATGCAATGACCCAGATATCAATTGTCGGAGGTCCGCGCGGATTCCTTAGATCGGCGCTGGTACCCCCTGGTGGCGCCTCCGGCGCCGCCCCTGGCGCGCTCTGCGCGCCAGGAAAGGGGGCCCCAGCGCCGGTCCGAGAAATTTGTGCAGACCTCTGAAGGTTCATACAGTCAACCCGCACAGCACGGATGGGCAACCTTCCTGAGGGTACCCTTGCATCGTTGCTTCCTCGGTCCATCCTTGGCCATTTTCGTTGGCCGAGCCCCGCTCGAAAGGCTTCTCAATGGCTTTCAAGGCCCTTGTATCCTCATCGCGCATCCTTACTACACGGGTTCGCTGCATTCATACCAATGCACGCGGCGCAGCTCCAGCGCCAGAAGAAGAAGGTCTCCAGTCAATGAAGGAAGGCCTCCAATACAGGTCCTCGAGTCAGTGGCATGCAGCCAGCGGGAGCCCGTCTGCGTGCTGTTCCCTCGTTTTTTGTTGTCCGAGTGCCTGCTGTCTTCTTCGCTGGTGCCAAGCGGATGGCTTCCCTGCGGCGGCGTGTCGTTGAGACCGTTGTCGACTCCCAAAGTCGAGCAGTGGCTAGGCGTCTGGGCTCGCCTCCAGGCCCACCAGAGAATGTTCTAAGAACCTTTTTTGTGGTTTGCACGGCATGGTTGTAGACAATGTCTGACTGCGACCGCCTTGTTTCAGGAGGGGGAAAAACACAGACACAATGAATCGTCGATTCCCAAGGAAATATGCGAAAATATGGGAAGTGTGTGGGGGGGGAGACAGAAGACCCGAATATATATGAAAACATAGGGGATCCTGTCATTTGTGTGTATTTATTTGTGTGTCCCAGGGCCCCTTCACTGTTGCAACTCGCCGTGTTCGTGCTCAAAGAAGACCTTTGTTTTTAGAAACGAGCATTCTCTCGTTCTCAGAACATGTCGTGGCAGTCCTACGGGAGTGCTGGGACGGTCGGCCCCTGCTCAACAGAGAGAGCGCAGGGGGGACTGCCGTTGGACTGCCGTCCTGTTCCTCCCAGTGGGGAGGTGCGTTCGACTGTTGCTGGACGCCCCGGCCGGTAGGGGCGGCCGGCCCTCCACTGCCCGGAACCGGTGTGTCGGGCGCGTTGGAGTTCCTGTGACAGGTGTTTTGCCCCCGCCCTTCACCACCCACCAACCCACCCTAACCCAAACCCGAAGGCCCCGATTTGCCCTCCATTTCCAGTGGGGGGGTCTGAGAGCATTGAAAAAACACATGTGGAACCCGTATCCCCCCCAACCCGAAATTCGTGTCTTCGGGTTGGGTTGGGGTGGTCTGGTAGGTAGTTAGCCCTTCTCGCGCCTAGACCAGAGGAGGCGATTGGACCAGGATCGGCGGCGAGCGAGGGGGGGGAAGTGAGAAGGGGCGGGCCTTCGGCCTTCTCACAAGGCTCGGGAGCCCCCTGGCCCTCTGAGAAGGTGTCCTGAGCCTTCCCCGAAGGCACAGGAGACTTCTTGGAAGGCCGGAGGGCTTCTGAGAAGCCCCGCCGTTTTCTGAGAAGGCCTTCTCCTCCTCACTTCCCCCCCTCGCTCGCCTCGGATAGGATCGGCATTTCAAATATTCCACGCTTCCCAAATGGGGTCCGAATAGATGGAGTCGGAGGGTAGCACCGCATCGCAGATGCAACGGCGATGCGGCTCGATGCAGAGCCAGAGTTTCTCGACGCCGACGTCGCCTATGCAGCGGCGATGCGGCGCGATCCTCCGACCCATCCAGGCAGACCCAACTTGAGAGGCCTCCAAGGACGGCGCCCTAAGGGGTGGGGCCCTCAGGAAGAGTGGCCTCACACAGCGAAGGTTCAGCTTGGAGGAATCCTTTTCATATCCCCCTGGGCTCCATCCCTGAACCGATGATGGGAGCCATCTGTTCACCTCAATACGGTGGGGGCGTTGGTTAAGGAATGTGCCCATGAGGTTTCAGCCCCTGGAGGATTTCTTATCTGACGGGGGCGGCGGTAAAATCCATGGCCAATCCACGATTGGAGTTTCACCGTTTTCCAGACCCTGGATTCCTGATCCAATGGTTCCTTATTCAATGCCCTCACCGTATTCGCTTGAGAAGGGCATTCTCGTCTCGCTTTCGTCCGTCGTCGTGCACGCGCAGGCGTGTCCTCTTGGCGGTCACACGCGCAGGCGCGCCCTTGTTGAGCAATTTGGAAGTCCTCCGTGGGACCGAACTTCAACCTGCCAGCTGGGCCAGGTGAAGGTTTTTGCACGAACGCAAGCGTACAAACGCAGTGAGGAAATTGGTGAGAAATCAAAGAAGGCGTCTCCAGCGGGCCGTTTCGGATAGTGGAGTTCTCTGAGATGGCCTCAGTATCGCTACCTGTAGGCGAGGAAAGCGGCGGGACCGAGTGACAGCTTGTGCTGCGCACGGGGTAAAAGTCACAATGACATGCGCACATTGTTGTCATGAGCAGTGCAAGAATGGCCACATGAGAGGGAGTGTTGGGCCTTGGGATTGCAGAGAGATCGAGATGGTTGGCGCCGCGCAGGCGATGGCTTGGGGCATAGAGATCCGCAATACGGGCGGAGAAATGCATGATTTGTTGACCGAGGTTTGTCATGGCGAATCTGTGCTCGGGACGATGGCTCCGAGCGGTTCCTGTTTCTCGCGGCAATTCTTATCATGTTCAGTTGCGCAAGCATCATCATTGGTTCGTTAAACATGTGGCTAGTCAAGCACAGTCCGTGACTTGTGTGACCGCGTGGTGGACGGCAGCTCCACAGGCGATCAGCTGCCGAAGCCAGCATTTTCCTGGCCGACCCCCCTCCTCCATCCTGTCCCCCCCCCCGCCTCCTTGCCATCGTTCTCGCTCCGCCCTCCTGGCCCCCATCTCGGAGGCAGGAGGGAAAGGTGGTGGCCGGACCAAGAGCACCCCTCTTGATCTCGGGGAGAGAGCTTTCAGCAAGACGGCGCGCATATTGTTGCAATGCCGAGTCCAACCGACTGACCTCCATTTCCCCCACCCTCCTCCTTATCCTTGTCATCGTCCCCCCTCGCCTCCTTCATGCCATCTTCCTCCATCCCTCCCTCCTGCCTCCCCTCCCCCTTCCTCATCCTTGACATCGTCCTCCCTTCTGCCTCCGCCCACTACCCTGGTGGCCGCCTCCTGGTCCGCGGCCTTTTTTAGCTGGACTACAGGGGTGGCTCCGCCCTTCCCACTGCTCTTTTCTCGCAGACTTGAGCTTGGCTGTTTGCTCAGACCTCGTGCTTATTACCGCTCTGGGCCTCGTGGGGGCCCAGCAGACAGCGCGCTTCGTGCAAAGCCCCGCGGCGATCAGAGCAACCCTCCCCCCCTCCCTCCTCCACCCCTTCGCTTCCCCATCCTCTTCCCCTCCCCCTCCTCTTCCCCTCCTCTTCCCCTCCTCTTCCCCTCCTCTTCACCTCCTCTTCCCTTCCCCCTCCTTCCATGCATCCTCCTCCTCCTCCTCCTCCTCCTCCTCCTCCACTCCCTCCTCCTTCCCTTCCCCCTCCTCCACTCCCTCCTCCGCCACCCTCCCCCTCTTCCCGCCAGTGGGGCCTCTGGCTCGAGGCGGCCCAGCGCGGCTGGCCCGGCGCGACCGTGCGAGAGCGCCGCGCGCCCGGGCGAGGCCGGCGAGTGCCCGAGGGAGGGTTTCTCCAAAGGGCTTAGGCGACCCCTCCTCCTCCCCCTGCCCCTTCTCCTCCTCCTCCACCACCTCCTCCTCCCCCTCCTCCTCCTCCACCACCTCCTCCTCCTCCCCCTCCTCCTCTTCCTCCTCCTCCTCGTCCTCCTCCTCCTCCTCCTCCTCCACCTCCCCCTCCTCCGCCTCCTCCTCCTCCTCGTCCTCCTCCTCGGGTCGCCTACGGCCCGGGGGGGAAACCGTGCACAGCAGGGGGAGGAAGAAAGAAGGAGGGGAGTGATAAGGAGGAGGATGAGGAGTGGGAGTGGGAGGCTCTCCCTCGTCTTCTTGTTGTTCTGAGCTCCTCATGTTTTCCCTCCGCGGACGATATGTATGCAGCGTACCGCGTTGGCGTCTTTCCGAGGCGTTGTCAATCTTCGATCCAGGAATCGCACAGTGCATAGTTTATCGGCCCTTAGGAGCCCAAAAGCTGTGCACCGTAACACGTTGGAGCGGGGCCTGAACGGAGTCCAGGCATGGTACGGTGCATGGGCGCCGTTCTCGCATCCTCTGGTTCCCATTGCCCAGTAGTGTTTGGGGGCACTGCCAACCCGCCTCCGAGGGGGCTCTCCGCACGTCGCATTTCCCATGTACCCACTTTGACCCCCCCCCCAGTAGCGACCGCTGCTGGGGGAGGGCTGCGCCGCTTGGCGATCCCGAAGCCAACAGCAACAGCAGCAACATGAGGAGGAGGAAGAGGAGGAGGAGGAGGAGAGGGAGGAGCTGGAGGAGGAGGCGGAGAAGAAGCACTTCCTTGATGGGCACACGCCCTGCTCGACCCGGGCCTGGGTCCTCTGGCCGACACGTCTGGCACGGGTGAGCACCAGACCGAAAACGGATATGGTGCCGGGGCCGTGGATTGAGGAAGAGAGAGGTATAAGAGGAGGAGGAGGACGAGGAGGAGGAGGAGGAGGAGGACCCCTGGCTGCCATGGCCAGCTCCGCCTCGACATGAAGGAAATGTTCAGGGCCTGGTTATTGAGGGGGAGCGACGAGAGGGAGGAAGAGGAGAGGAGAGGTTTTTGGATGTCTTCTGGACTTTTTCAGTGTTCGGTCGTTCTGCTCTCCAAGTTCCCGTAAGAGGCAAGTCTTTCAAAATGTTTCTGGATATCCGTCGTCGATTGCTCCGGGCGGTTTTCGGTGGTTCTGCTGGTCTTCTGGGGGCAGTAGCACTAGCAGAATGAGGACCAAGAGTGCGGAGGAGGAGGAGGAGGAGGAGGAGGAGGAGGAGGAGGAGGAGAGAGGATTAGAAGGAGGAGGGCAGACCCGCGCAAGACCGAAGCCTCCACAGTGGACAATGGACATCCCGATCTTCTGCTCTGTCTGCTGAAGCTGCGATGGCAATTTCGAGGGAGCTCCCTGGCATTCGTGCGCCCAAAGCTGCCACTGGTGGATGATGACAACTTGCTGCGTTTCCTGCAGTGCGCAATGACCCAGATTGCAGTCGGCCTTGCTTCGTAGGTCGACCCTGCCAGATCCAGGGTGCCCTCTGGTCCTGTGCCTCGCGACCCGCGCCTTCTGCATTCCTGTGGCGATCTGGCCCTCGGCAGGGTCTTGTGTCCTCTCGCGCGCCGTGTCCACTCCAGTCCGGCTCTGCAGCGCGTCCCTTGCCTCCTCGCCTCGGCATCCCCCCTTGTTGCCCCGGTTCCTCCCGCTCCCACTCCGCCCCGCCCGACGCACGGCTCGTTTCGATGCTTCCGATTCGATCCGATTCGATTTCGAGGGCCTCCGATTCCGATTCCATTCGATTTCGGGTTCCGATTCGGACTCCGACTGTTTTCTATGGAGACATGCCATCCTGTTGATGTCCTCCGATTCGACTTCTCTCGACTCGGCGGTCGATTTCCGCTGATCCGATTCGTGTCGATCGCCGATCCGACGTCTGCTCGCCTGCCGACCGACGGCCCGCTCGCCCGGCCACTGCGCGAGCCCCGCCGCGTGCGGGGTGACCCCCCCCCGCGCCGCTCGCGAGGCACAGCGCAATCCCACCTCCCACGCGATCCCTCCCCCCCCCCCAGACAGCGGGCAACCCATGTCCTCCTCCTCCTCCTCCTCCTCCTCCTCCACCTCCTCCTCCACCTCCTCCTCCCTTCCTCCTCCTCCTCCTCCTCCTCCTCCTCCTCCTCCTCCTCCTTCTCCTCCCCCCCCCATCCCCCTATCGTGTCGCCGGTTTGCCGAGTCGCTCCCAGCACACCAGCGGGCAGCGCTAGGCACCCAGGGCCGGCGACAGGGCGGGGTGGCCAGCCAGCGCGCGGGACTCTGTGACGTGGGCGACGGCACAGTCTGAGTGGCCGGGCCTCCTGTGATTCCAGAAGACTCGCTGCTGTTCTCACTCGCTCTCTGCTGTTGCTGCTCAGCTGTCCAGGGTCTCTCTGCCGCCGCCCGTTTTGGCTCTAATAATTTTAGGACCCTTGGCTGATTGAGCTACGATCCGCTCTGCGAGCGTTTCCAAAACGATAGATCCGCGATCTTTCCATATCACACCTACAACCCTCGCTGTTTTGTTTCCTGCAGGCGCGCCCG